GAAACAACCAAGAAAGTGAATAGGAAACCCACAGAGTGGAAGAAAATCTTCACCAGCGACACATCGACAAAGGTTTAATATGAACTCAAAAAACAAAGAATCAAGAAGCAACCCAATTGAAAGATGGGCTAAGGAGCTGAACAGAACGTTTTCAAAAGAAGAAGTAAAGATGGCTATGAAACATCTTAAAAGATGTTCAACATCACTAATAATCAGGGAAATGCAAATTAAAACCACTTTAACATTTCATCTTACCCCAGTCAGCCTGGCTAAGGTCAAGAGAACAAATGATACCAAATGTTGGAGGGGATGTGGGGAAAGGGGAACACTCATTCACTGCTGGTGGGGCTGCAAACTGGTTCAACCCCTATGGAAAGCAGTATGGAGAACTCTTAAAAAACTACAAATGAACCTACCGTTTGACCCAGTTATACTACTCCTTGGCATATACCCAAAGAACTCATCCTGTTGCAGAGACACTTGTACATCCATGTTTGTTGCTGCTTTTTTCACAATAGCTAAGAGAATGAAGCAACCTAAGTGTCCCTCAGTTGATGAGTGGATAATGAAAATGTGGTTCATTTTTATGATGGAGTAACGAAAGATGAAATCATGAAATTTGCAGGTAAATGGTTGGAATTAGAAACTATTATAATAAGTGAAGTAACACAGACTCAAAAAAAAATTGACATATGTTCTCCCTCATGTGTGGATCCTAGAACCAAATCTTGATAAGTGAGTTTGTATCCAGACATAACTACAGGAACCAGGGTAATGGAAATGAAACAGGGAGGTAAAGGAAAAGAAAGAACCTGAAATAGAAGAACAGTAGGAAACAGGCATTAATAAGGGAGATATGGAAAAAAATTGGGTTAGTTTAAGGGAGAGGGGAGTGAAGGGTATAAAAGGAACCAGGGGATAAAGGGAAAGAAAGAGCTCAAGAGAGGTAGGATCATAGGAGAACGGTATTATTAATGGAGAAAGGGCAAAAATGGGGGCACCTTAATTGGGGAAACCATGGTGGAGGGGTTAGACAATGTGAGACATAAATAATGCATAGGTAGTTTTAAAAACCAGAGGGAACCATATTAGTCCAACTACGTACTGTCAAATTATACATACCAG